GCAGCTTCTCACAGCTTCCTTTTTGCTTGAGGCATTGCAGTCACAGATGCTCAGTTGGTCACCTCAGCATGATGTTCCTTAAAGCCAGAGTCCCAAATCCTCGCCCTCCCCAGCCACTTTCTTGGTCTACTGAATGCACTGTGTGTTGCTTTTAAATCACATGACACTGTCTGTTATTTGCTTCGCCATTCATCCATACAGGTGGAGCAGGTGGATGACTGACAGTTTTTTTTTCCCCCTCCAGGGATAAAGATAGCAAAGTCCCTTATGTTTTAATGACACATTTATTCTTTAACTTAGAATTGAGTGTGGTGGCAAGAAGATTTTCGCCCTCTTAAGGTGGATCAAATAACTTGGTTGTAATTATTTTTTTATGGAAGCCAAATACAACAAATACCTGCAACATCTTGTACAGTGTAATGTGAATCTGAAGAGGACTCAGAATCAAAATCACTATGGTATATTTTGACATGCTACTGCCTCCACCAAGCTTTATTGTGGCTGTGGTTGTCTTTTGGTGATGAAATGAGATGAGATTGTCTCACTTGAGCTGCACATTGCACAGCAGCTACTTGGTGAGAATTCCTGCAGCCTCTCTAATGTTAATGTCGGAACTGGCCGGCACTCTGCTTGGCCAGTTTTCTTCTATTTCTGGATAATGTTACTATTTAACAGTATTTTCTGCTCCTAATATGTCAGGTTTGTCTTGCAAAAGAGAATCTTAATCTCAATGGGACATACCTGGTTGAATAAAGATTACATACAATGCAATTGTTGATTGTCTTCAGGCAGTTTCTTTCAGGCCAACAAGGCAAAATTATGTAAAAGCAATCAGACCCGGGCTCTGAGATAAATAACAAAAGTAAAATGAGAATAAAAAATAGCAACAATGTTATAGCTTTTTGCATTACAAACCATGGGATCTCTCTATAAAATCCACACAACCATGCTGCTACACTCCTCCTGTAAATTTCCAAAACATACTTTCCATCCTTCCAGTGAATTCTCCATAAACTATACACTTGACTTTATTTGCCTGCTTAACTGAAAATTGTTCACATTGTTGGTCAATGCAAAATCTTGCTCTAAATTGGGTCATTTAAACTGAATGAGAATAATGTGAGAAACTATTTTTCAACTTCAAGATTTCTTCTTGTCTGACACACTTAAATATTTTGCCTCAAACAAATGTCAATAATCAGACAAATATAACCCGAGTAAATACAAAAAACTGTTGTCAAACCAAGTTTTGATCAACCTGTATTCCAGTGCCACCACGTGGTCACAGTCTGAATAACAATTTAGTTTGTGATAGTGCCAAGACTGAAGGCAGAATTTCCATCCATCCATTTTCTTTACACCCTTATCCCTTTGAGGTCAGGAGGGATCTTGGTGCCTATCTCCAGCTGTCAATATAAGTTTTCTGTTTATTTTGTTTATTAGATCTTGTCATTTTATTTTATTTCTTTGCAATAGTTTGTTTATTAATCTGTCTTTCCCCTTTGTGCTCCATTCGGTGTTCTTTCCTTTCCTGTGTCTCTTTCCTATGTTTATCTTTCATCATCATCACTGTTTATTTATTAAGTTCTTAAAAAAACAAAGTGCTGCACAGGTACATCAAAACTCAAAGTATAAAAGAATAATGGAAACAATAATAAAACAATGTGCAAAATACAAGGTTAAGAGAATAAGTCAGAAAACAAAGGTGATTGCGTTCCCTGGAATTATACACCCGTTTAAAACGATGAGTTTTTAAAAGATTTAAAATCATAAAATTCAGCAGACTTCACGTACAATGGAGATTGTTCCAGAGCTTAACTGCAATTGAAAAAAGTCACAACCTGAATCCTGAGAACAACTAAAAGCTTTTGATATTGTCAAGATCTACTCCGGATATGTGACTATAAAAGCTCAGTAAGGTGGTGATGCCAGACAATTAAGACATTTAAAAACAAAACCTTAAAAACAACTCTAAAAGAAACGGGAAGAAAAAACAAAATCAGGATATTGTCTGGTCCCAGTTAGCAGACAGGCAGATGAATTCTGGACCAACTGCAGACAACAAACCAAAGACTGGTCTTTCACTGGTTATTTGAGTTTCGATAAACCTGTTGGCAATTATCAACTGGTCAATTTTACATTTACAGAACATCTTCGTAATCAGGTTATTGAGACTTCTTTTTATCCCTGGTTCTGATGCTGCTTCCCCAACAGAAGAGAAGATGTGACAGTCTCAACAATACACTTCTTGAAGCTATGCAGCATCTTGCGGCAAACTTTGAAATAGCTAAGCTTCCTCAATAAGCTCTAGCCTAGTTTGCTGTCTAAATGACAACCAACCACCATCCCTCAACCATCTCTGACTGTTAAGTGTCATATTGGATTTCAATGATCATCGCAAAATTAAAAACCTTGCCAGTGTATCATAAATGGAGCATCCCTCCATTATCCTGTTTACATAAGGCTTTAAAAGTGGTTTGAGATACTGCCTTGACAAAAAAGGCCTGAAGGTTATAAGGTAAACCTTCATATTAACATCAAGTAACTTCTGTATCAATTAGAATAATTCACGACTCCACCTGTCAATCATAGGGAATTTGTTAGCAACTCACCAATCGGCGGTCGCTATTTGTCCCGAAGTACACGCCCCTTTTCTGAAAGAAAATGATACGATTATTAATTATAGATATATTATATAGATATATTCATAATTATAGATTATTATTATCCAACGTTATTCCCATAACGTTGTTCTGACCGCTGAGTAAGCAGTTTGTGACGTAACATCGGTGCGCAGCGGTAATGCGGGACGGATTGCTGGGTAGCACAGGTTGCTAACGTGCTGCGTTCATAAACATTTCGAGGAAATTATTGTCCAACTTTGTCAATGGGGAACATGCAAACCCGTCACTCATTGCCCAGAGCGTGTAGAGGGCGGAATACAATTTTCTACATTTCCAAAACCCAAACGGAGTCTGGAATAACGCAAGAAATGGATCAAGGCCTGCTGCCGACCTCATGTCCTGTTGAATGAAATTGTCATCGACGGCGACTACTACATGTACAAAGGTAACTGGTTGTAAGCATCCCATTTTTTGTCATGACAGCACTGTATGATAGTCAAATCAAAGCTCAGTAAGTTAAGGGAGTTATGCTTTAATTTATGTGTAAATTCAGGTAGCTCTGCTAACATTTGCTGCAGTAACATTTAAGCACTTTTTATGCTAATGTTAATTTTAAGTATTTTTATGAACGCATTGTTTTACAAGCTTGTATTATTTAAAGTCTTACTCACCTGCTTTTTGTACGTGTAAAATACAGCTGACACAGACTTTGTGTCCCAATTTGTCCTGTGGGGGAGAAAGACTTGGGCTTTAATGCTGATTTCTCCATTGTTTTCCGCAAATAACCTTACAGATCTGATGTATGACTTGGATAATGTTCTTGCGTGTTGTCTTTACCTCAGTGTTGGCTTGTATAAGGCAAAGAGGACAAAAATGTCTTGGGTAATGCATTGAGTTTGACGTCCTCTGCCATTATTACTGTCTGTGTTTGTCAGAGGTTTGATCTACTTCTGCATGGGGGCGGAGCTGGTTTCATGTCAGATGCATTCATAGTGGAATAAATCACTAAAGAAGCAACACATATTTGTAAGGTGGGTAGATATAAAAAAACTTAAAAAGGAATGCAATCACTGGTTGTTTATGTGCAACACACTTATTGCTTCTGGCTAACATCTGTTTTGACAAGGAAATATGTACTTTAGCACCACTTTGTCTTGAATCTTACTGCGTTGAACAACAAGTGTCACCAAATTTTCCTGCAAAGAGAGTTTGAATGCATGGCACTTTAATAACAAGTTGACTCACATAGCAGAACCACAGAAAACATCAACAGTGTTTTACCTAAGATAACTGGACTGCTGTAAAGTCGGCCAACGTCCTCTTTTCTGATAAAGCAGTTTTTGTATCTTATTGGCAAGTCACAGTCAAGAGTTTGGATGAAGAGTAGAGAGCCACATAAATAATGTTTTGCTTATTCAGTGATGATTTCCTCTGCTGACGAGCTTTTTTGAAATGATTTTGACGCAACAGTATTTAGTACCTACCCACAATCCCACTTGCTGTAATAGGTATTGTCTGGACAGAAGACTGGAAAGAAAATACCTAGGAAAGCAGACAGGCTGAAGGCTATTAAAGCAACCTTGTCTTCCCCACTGCATCGATACAATAATTCATTAAAAAAAAAGTAGATTTGACCAGGTACTGAATGCAGATACTATACAGGAGTTGGTCAGCCCTTCTAGTTTTTCAAACTAAGGCCCAAGGAGTTTATTTGGCATTTCAACTCATGCTAAAAAACATGATGCTGAATGAAATTAGGCTGGTTTTTGCTGAAAAATGATCTTATTTGAGATGCACTTGTGCATAAAAGATGAGCCTATCCAAAACAAAGGACAAGTTAAATACAACAGCTGAAAATAATAACTGAGGTAAATAATTATAGCCACATATTGTGGATATTGCTTTGTCTGTCAGCATAATTTGACCAGACCCATTCTGCTAATTAGAAGTATGGATACTAATTTGACTTTGCAGATACAGAAGGAAAAGTAAACTCCTACTACAGACAAAACAAATCTAGACTCTGTCCACTAGATGTCAGGAAGCTCACACATTTCTTCAACAATCCTACTAACATTATGACCCTCAATAAAACTATACAGTAGAATACAAACAGGATAAATGTGAAGGAAATCCAAAACAATTTCAGTATTAAAATGCTCCTGTGATGAAAGTGACTTTGAAATATTTAAATTTACTCTTTCCACTAAACATTATTTAAGTCTTTGTTACAAAATAGTTTTATAACTTTTGTTAAAAATATGAACATTTTAAACCAGTCATGTTAATTGTTTTTGCATTTAAAATGGATTTTGTACATGCCTTTCAGATTACCATGGCACCCACCATAAGAGGGAGACATCCCTTTAAGGTAAAACAATTAAGGCATCCTCATAAATAAAATCCTTAGTACTTCTGTTTTTTTTTTTGTTTTTTTTTTTTAACGTCAAATGCCATTTAGTTGAACAATCGCAATAATTTCTTCATGTTTTTAGAACTCTTTTGTAAAAGTTGCAGTTAATTTTTGCCTCCCGTAGCATTTGGTATTCTCATCTTCTCATCTCGGCATTAGATGCACACTACAGAGTTGTGTGTGAATGCAGTCAGAAGATGGCAATGGTGTCAGGTTATTGCGTGGCTGTCAGCGTTGGTGGGCTTGGACAGGCATCGGCTCCGCACCATGCAGGGTTCCTTTCTGCCTGCTGGAGATCTTGTACTTGCTTCTTTAGTCAGCCCTAAGCCGCTGTCCCCACGCAGGGCTGCCTTCACCAGCGTTCACCTAAATCTGTCACACAGATTTGACACTGTGTCACTTGGAGTGCACTCTGAAATGACATGTATATAATGTGGAATATTGTGCACATTTACAGCCCGGACTTCCCTTAGAGCATGACCGGTTTCCTTGTGTGCATGTGGGTGTGTGAAAAAACAAAAACAAAAAAAAAAACATAATAAATAAATGTCTGCGCTTGATATTAAAAAATAAAAAACAACATGGTATTACTTCATGAACATAAATTATGCTTTCATATTCAGACAATATAATTTAATCAGTCCTACAATCAAACAGATTTTTTTGGGGCACATTAGAAATCTTAAGAGTGTATAGAAAATGTGTTTGCAAAACCATTTAAATGAAAAAAGAAACAAACCTGGGCTTCTTGTTCTGAAGCAGATATAGTGGGCAGTTAAGTGACTTTTAACGATAGCGTTGTCCTTACATCTCAGTACCCTGTCAAAAATGTTACTGTCAAACGTTTGCCGTGTTTAGGCCACAAACAACACAAATCAGATCAGATTAGGCTCACAGCTATTTAGGCATGAGAAATTACACTAAATGCTCTTTTGTATCCTTCCTCCTGTGCGAAAACAATTTATACCCTAATGCTTATTTTAGACCAAAAATGCATTCAGGCTCCTATGTTTCAGAATAACACTGCTGAAAGGAATAAGAATATAAAGAATTGAAATGAACCACATTTTTGTAGATTTTGCGCATCTCAGTGTAAGCACGGTGCTTAACACATATGTAGTGTGTTTAGTGTGTAGTTGCTTTTAATACCATTTGTTAATTTTCACAGTTTTAATATATTATCATTTTGTATATTTACATTATTCACCCCAATAATTGTTTAGTATTTACAGCAGCAGTTGGCAAATATCCCATTATTAGCAGTAAAGTGAACAATGCACAGTTGAATTGGAATCTTTCTATTTAACTGTATTGGATTGATTTGATTTTTAACGTGCTTCTTTTTATTCTTAGATATGAAACTGGACTTGTTTTTCTTTTAAATTGCACTGGAGTGACATTTGTTGTGAATTGGTGCTATATAAATAATCTGAAGTGAACTCAATTATTCTTGTTCTAGCTTTTACAACCAACTCGAGAGGAAGCTTCTTCCTGCACAGAAAGTTCTCAATTTGGAACAAAGAGAAGACAGTGGGACTGAGTGCCCATTTCTTCCTCTCACATGGCTTTCACTCTGTCGCTTTCTTCTGCAGTATTTACTGAACAAAATTGTCACAACTCGGCCTTGTTGGCCAGTAAGAAGGATTTCTCACTCCCCTGTCACTGTGGCTTTGCAAGACGTATTGCACAAAAAAGGCTTGAAACTGGGTTGCGGTTTTTAGGGTTGTCGTTGATTAAAGTTTTAAAGCAATTAAAATTATTCTCAAAGCAGATGTGTGTTGTATAATGCAGATCGATTCAAAAAGGAATTTGGGAGGGCAGTGAGATACAAAAATTATAATCTGGCATAATGCAGTCTTCAATTTTTACTAAATTCTAATAACAGTAGCTGCTATTTTGAGGCAAATCTGTATTTGATTAGAATTTAACAAGATGTTGGCTCAGTCAATCATTACTCATACGTAAAATGATAGTAAATTAAGGATTATTATAACATTTCTGGCTTTGAGTGTTGGAGCAAGAATTTAAGTTTGTAACCAGCTTAACTAGTTTAGCAACAGCGCTAATGCTAAAGTCAAACTTGCTAGCAAGCTGGACTTTTTAACCCTTTGGAAGCTGACCCCAATGAAATGCAAATTTGAACTTGTTGGAACAAATTCTAAGGCCTAGCATTATTTCAGTAACATTCTGTGCCTTGAATTGTTTAGCAACAATGCTAATGCTAAAGTACAACTTGCATGCAGCTGAATTGCCTTTGGAGTGTCATTGTCAACATTGTTAAATATTAGCTGAAATTGTAAGGGAGAAAGTTTGCACACCACTTTGTTTGAATGGATTTGAAAAGTTGAGATTAACATTTTATTCTTTTACTTAGTTTGCTGACAGCCCTAATGCTATATTTAAACTTTCTAGCCTTTCATTAGCATTGAAAGTCGATGTTGGTGAATACCACAGATTACTGGTTAAGTAAAAAGTTTAAATGCACATTTTAGAATAAATTTTTATCCAAGTCTATTTCAGTAATATTTTTTGCCATAACCAGCTTAGCAGCAGCGCTAATGCTCAAATCAAACTAGATATCAAGATGCGATCACTAATAAATTATTATTTATTGTTTCTTTACAAGATGGAAGAGAAAAATGTTGAGCAAAAATAATGTTTGCTTAGAAATATTGATTCAAATCTTTCGAAATAAACTGGATGTATATTGTGACACCAACTTTATTGATCTACTCTAAAACTTTATTCTATCTGTGTAAATGTATAAATCTATTTTCTATATTTTTTAATCAATGTTGAGTTTCCACCAGCAGGTCTAGAAGTATCATTCAGGAAAACGTAAGTTTACATTTGAAATGTAGTAAATTTGATAAGCCATTTTTATGAGTTATTCATCTAAATTTTTCCTCTGAATGTTTTTTTTTGTTATTGATTTATTTATCATTTGCTGAAAAAAATTGAAATAGGTACAATTTTTACATCTGTCAAACAGCAAATCAAAAGGAAAAGTTATCCACACAGACATCAAATCACAATACGCTGTAGACTTCTCATTTTTTTAAATACTAGGCTTCACTTATAGTCAGGTGAGACTGAAAAAACTTTTTTGCCTATACATTACAATGCAGGGGACACTTCTTTTCTCACACAGGTGTTTAAGAGATCCCCTCTCTGATAAATCATGATTTGTAAACTTTCTCACAGACAGCACTGACAGGTTTCCCTTTGATAATGTAGAAAAATGGAGAAAGCGAGAGCTGGGCTTAAGTAGAGCTGTGATTTAGAGCGCAGAGATGCAGCATCTCTCCCTTCCAGTGGAGGCCCTCCTGGGTTTGATTTAATTCTCTCCCCGCACTATTAAAAAGGCCTTCCACTACCTTCAGCGCATGCACCTTGCTGTCATAACTGGCACAAAATCATTAATCAATGCCGCTTGTAGCCAGTGCGACTAAGGCCCTTCGCAGTGTATATTTTCCCATTATTGATTGTGCGTGTAATGCATGAAGAAGTACAAAGATAGGTGTCCTCCTGTGTTGGAATGACCATATTAGGCCATGAGATGAGGGAACTATCTGGGCTTCATGTAGCACTTATCATTCCTGTCAAGAGGAAAACTTTCTTCTCAAAGTGTTTCTTAATTTAAACTGTTGCGTCCGTTTTTTCCCCTCCCTTTTGCATTTTGCTTCCTGAACTCAACAATGATCCTGTGCTGGATGTATGATGAGCAGTTATTTGGTGCGATAAACTGAAAGGCGCTGAATGTCAGTGTGTCCCCCCTTTGTTGTTTAATTTATTTTCTTTTCAAAGTGAAGGGAGGTGTCCTTGCTGTGAGAGTTAGTCATTGATGTGGCTATAGTTAGTCTGTCCCCTGCTGCGTCTGTCTGTTGGAGACGCTACTTCCTCTTTCCTGCTCGTTTGCCCAGAGACGCTCACCTCAGTTTGTTTGGCTGCAGCTAGAACGATGTAGGGTGGGCTTCATGAAGAACAAAAGATTATAGACTGTGGACAAATCTCTGCAAAACAAAGCACACTTGACAGACACTGTTAGAAGGTAAATGCAGTTTGACCTGTCCTTTTTGAAGGTATTACCTGTAGTGTTGAAAGTTCTTTGGTTCTTTCATTTTTAAAACATTAGAGAAGAACAACACAAAAAGGATACCGGTAATTTGTATGTTCTATTTAATTGTCATTTCAGAAATCTTCTGTTTATCTGTGTCTAAACTCTAGTGTTGGCACTGCAATATGACAGAGTGAAAGGAATCACATGCGGTGTTTTCCAATTCTGTGTACCCTTCCAGTAAACTTGTATATTGCTGTAATTTTACAGTGAGATCTGACGATGTTTTTTTACTTCTCTTATCTCTCTCCTACTTCCTTTAGGTTTAAGATAAAGTTGAACTATTTATGTCTTGGCTTCAGGTATTTAACTCTTTTAATCATGCCTCTGTCTCTTTTTTTTTTGTTCAACAAAATATATAACAGCATCAGAAAGAACATCCCTAATGATGGTCATATTTGAAGTTGAACATAACACATTTTAGTTCTAAAATCCCAGGAACCAGTTTTTATTGAGTTAAAAACAGTGTTTATGTGTGTACAAACTCGGATGTCGAATGTGAAACCAGTGAAATAAATAAATAAATAAATAAATAAATAAATAATTTAAACAAGAAGGGTTTTTTTTGCCCCTCTGGAAACAGACAGAATTAAAAGGTCAGTTTTTTTCTATGTTTTTCAGTGTAAGATTATGCAACTGCAATAAAGATGAAAATATGTTAAGGCATTTTACACATGATGCTAATACTTGTAGAGGTTGCTGTATATCACATATGAGGGAATTCAGCAAAAATAAATAAGCAGTAGGATTGCTTTATGTTTATCTTATGGTTTAATAATGTTCATTTGTTACATTTAGACAAATAATGACTCTAAATTGTTTTATCAACAACTGACTAATG